AGAGAGAGAGAGAGAGAGAGAGAGAGAGAGAGAATTTTAATGAATGATATGACGTAAAAGTAAAATTTAAAAAAAAAAAAAAGTTTAAATGAAACATAGGTTTTGTACGTGTTTTTCTCTCTCTCTCTCTCTCTCTATCTCTAAAGTAACAATTTTTAACGCATTTTCGACAAAATTCCCTTTTTATTGTAAAATCGTGTTTCCATTGACCCCCCCCCCCATTCTTATTTTTTATTCTATTTGTTGTCATTATCATTCTACGGGATTCGTACCATTGAAAAAAAAAAAAGGAATAAATTAAATTATTTTCAATAGTGTCGGTCAATAAAAAAAAAACGTTAATAACGTATATTCTTCCTCTTTTGTTGCATTTTATTATATAAAAAAAAAAAATTTAGTTTAGCTTTTAGTTAGAGCTTTTTTTTTTTTCAATTTATGTTGTTACATTTAGAAGATAGCAGAAGAAAAAAAAAATCAATATTTGGATTTTATGTCAGTGAGCTTAAATTTTAAAATCTAAAATTAATTCATTTATAAATTTTTTTCTATTTTAAATATTTACGAGACGTTTTCTTTTAAAATTTTATATTAAAAATTTATTAATTATTAATAATAATAATTAGAATTTAAGTGAGTGGGGGCACGTGCGTGTGCGTGAATGATTCGACGTTTAAACGTATTTTAAATTCAAACAATTAAAATAATAACAATAATTACACGTATAACGTTTTGAAATGTCATTTCAAAAAAAAGGGGGTGAAATACACAAAACTATTTTTCACTTTTAAGGTTTCCCCCTTTTCCTTCCCTCTCCCCTCCCCCCCCGTTCGTTATACGAATTAATGGAATCACATTAAAAACTTTTTAAATATTTTCCATGTATTAAAACGTTCGTTAAAACTTTTTTTTAACACGAGTGTGGAAAACTTGTATTGAAAAATAAATAAATGTTTATTTCACTCATTCGTGAATGTTTTTATTAATTTGTTTGACGTCATCAATCAAATTAATAATTTTAATTAAACTTAAAAACGTACTATTTAATGATAAAAAATTTAATGACGTACATCATAAACAACTCGCCATTAATATATTATTATTATTATTATTATTATTATTAAAAAATTTCGAAAAAAAAAAATATTAATAATAATATTATTAAAGAAAAAAATATGAAAATAGTTTTTCGTTTGATTAACGTAGTAGTAACCGACGGAAAAAGGTTTTTTTTTTTTAATAAGACTGATTTCGTATAAGTTAATAATGATAAAAAGAAAACTTCTTAGGATTCATTTAATAAATTCTATTTATATATATTTTTTTAATCAC